AATCTATCTGAAGTATAAATTGAAATGATAAGATACACTTGCTATCAGCCATTTGACAAGCATTTATTGAGTTCCTATTGTATTCCCGGCCCTGGAGATACAGAAATAAATAAGCAATGTTCCTCCTTCTTAAATAGCGTATAATCTAGCCTCTTCTGCAAAGTAGTAGATGGCTTAACTCTAATTTGAGAAAAAGAATCAAAGATAAAGTGGCCTATTTTGAGAAAAAGTGTGATTCATCTGTGGAGCAAGAAATGCAAAACACCAATAAATTCTCCAGACAGGAAGGGGACTGCATGGATCTAGGACTGACAGCAGGGAAGTCCCCTCACTTTTATTTAGATTCCAACTTACACGGTCACAGAAATCTCAGTGGTCAGATATACCCTCTGTGAATATGGAGGACGACATGCACGGTAATATACAGCATGAACGTGGTCTTCAAAGAATATAAAGGATAATTTCACGACTCAAGCAGTATGGAATTCAGCCAAGGAAGATGCTGTATCAGATCTAATGCTTGCTGACAGAGGAAAACTCACTCAAAATGTGAAGGAAGGAGGAAACGCTGTGACAGGGCCCATTAGTTCCTCAGATTTGGCATAGTGCCAGAAGGGTCCATGGGCTGAAGTACTCTGTAGCGTTGTACTTCTACAAGGAAACCTGGGAGAATTGGGACTCTAGGGAGAATTATCTTCTTGGGAGAATTATCTTCATGACAGAATTTTGAAAAGGTATCTTTCTGGTCAATAGAAATAACTTCTGAGAAAAACATCTGCAACAATGACAAAAAATTAATATGTGACTCCATGTGACAGGGATTAAAATGTATTCTTTTATGAAATATCTCTAAAAAGAAGAAAAACAGGATAAGCTAAATTATGCTCTATCAACTTCAAACATGTGAGAGCCAGAAAAGGAAGTCAAAAGCTGTGCAGGTTACTGTGGTCATTTTAAAAGAACTGATGTCCAAGGAGGCTGACCTGTGTATTAGGGCCACGCTGCTGGTTGGCAAATCTAGGCTTTGACACCAGTTCTTCCGACAGCCCGTCCGGTGCTCTTATATTATTAATACCACAAGAGCCCGTTTGTTATTGTTCTGGGGCAGCTAAGTTCCTCAGCTGATGTGAGTTAGCAGGGCATGTGAGAGGCCTGACTGTACTTCTCTGCTCCCCACCCCACCACCACCAAGTGATTTTAAGCGTTCTTACTACCATTTTGCTTAAATGAATAAGCAAATAATGAGAGACGTGAATCTACTGTTTTAACAACTTTATGCTACGACTTAGTCAAACTAAGAACTTCACATTTCTAATACTTACTGTGTCCTCTAGTGTGTCTAGTTTCAGAGAATGTAAATGCACCAGCTGAAAGGAATGTGTCTCTCCATATAGCTAAGGCACTTACATATCTTTCTTAAGGAATTGCAAATTCTGCCCCCCAACTCATCCTTTCTCTCCTGCCCTCTATTCCCCAGACTCCCAACATATACGTCGACTTGCAAGGCAAGCAGGGCATGAAAAAGGTGAGAACTTAGGGGAAAGAGCTTTTTTCTTGTTAGTCTTACAATAGATAAGTGAATTTCCTGAATAATAAATTAGGCCTCTAGAGATATAAATAGAATAGTGAAAAGCTGCTATGAGATATGATATTCTCTTCCATTCACTCAATAAGTACTTCGCAACTCACTTGAGGCTGGGAAGTTCTATATAACACATTAATACAAAGACTTGAAAAGAATGTCAGTAGCTCCCTTTGCCTACAGATTAAAAAAAGAAACACAAAAAACCACATGGGACTATAATAGATTAATTCCAAAGTTGCTGAGTTTAGATAGAAAAGTAAATAGAACAAAAGACAAAGGTATGCACAGGCCAAACTCATGTATTCTAAACCCTGCACCATGCACTTTTGTATTCTGAGCAGAGACATTTCATATAGAGTACTTAGTTGTATTTTAAACACATTTTTTTTTTAAATCTAGCTTTTGTGGGGTGCCTGGGTGGCTCAGTGGTCGGGCGTCTGCCTTCGGCTCGGGTCATGATCCCGGGGTCCTGGGATTGAGCCCCACATCGGGCTCCCTGCTTGGCGGGAAGCCTGTTTCTCCCTCTCCCTCTGCCTGTTTGTGTTTGTGCTCTCGCTATCTCTCTCTGTCAAATAAATAAAATCTTAAAAAAAAATAAAATCTAGCTTTTATAACATTTGACTCACATTTACTCTACTCTTTCCCTAATGTAAGAGGCTCAAAGAAAGTATCTGTAGCAAATATCCTAGGTTCTGAGCACTCCTCTGGGTTGCATGGACTAAAGACATTGAGAAATATTATCAGAACTAAGTGGGGTATCACCACTCAAACTGTCATCTCCATAAAAGAAGAAAGGCTGTAAGCAATCACTCCACTAAGTATATTTAAATTGCAGAATGCAGCTGCCTCCATCAGTTCCATGTCAGTTGTCTTTGTCATATTACAATTTATGCATCGGGAATAGTATCCTAGTAATCTGGAAGAGTTAGTACACTCCTAAGACTCATGCCTTACAGATTTTATGGCACAGGTATGAGGAGGTGCAGATTTATTTTTCACAAGGCTCCTTCCGTCTCTTCTTCCTTAGGTAATATATTTTCTTACTTAGCCGTTTTTCTCTTTCTCTTTGAAATTTACGTTAAACTAATCAGTTTTTTAAAATGGCATTTCTTTGCATGTAAAAATTACAAGGTTTGCATATGAATTATTAAAAAGTTATAATTATAGTGTAGCTGATTGTGGTGATAACCTGATTCATTCAAACTGTATTTAACATGAATTTAATATGTCCCACACTCGATTTTATTTCTCAAAATTGACATTTAGTAAATTAAGGATTAAAGGTTTGGTCAATTTTCAGGTGGAAAACTAATGTGAGGAGGACCATTTGAGGATGTATTAGCTATTTTAACCAGCCTGAAAACTTATTGAGTACTTTTAGAATACATGGCTGTCTGGGTAGACCCATCACTATTCATTGCACATCCCTCTCAATGTTGCATCCTAAACGAAATGGAAAAAAAAAAGTCATTTGCTCATAGGCTAAGTACCTGCTCCTCTTTGGTATAATCCCTCATTCTATGTAAGTATAATTCGTGCTTTTTTTTTTGTTATTACATTTTATTTGGGTTCTCTGTATAATCATAGTCAAAGGGTCGCCTTTCCTTTCGCCATTCTTATTACTAGAGGTTTCTGACAATGAAAAACTGCTAAGAGTTTAGCAGTTATATATATATATGTGTGTATATTTTAAAGATTTTATTTATTTGACAAAGAGAGACACAGCAAGAGAGGGAATACAAGCAGGGGGAGTGGGAGAGGGAGAAGCAGACTCTCCGCTGAGCAGGGAGCCCAATGTGGGACTCGATCCCAGGACCCTGGGATCATGACCTGAGCCAAAGGCAGACGCTTAACGACTGAGCCACCCAGGCGCCCCACAGTTATATATTAGTAAGCCTCTTAAATTCAGTATCATTCACTAAGCTGATTATTAGGGTATCTATGCCGTTGTTTAAACATAAGACATGGCAGGGCTAAAAAAAATATTAAGGCTTATTCTGCTCTTACACCAACTTTAATTAATGGCTTTTTAGTAATAGCATGGCCTAGTAATTAAGAGAAAAAGGCCTTGGGATCACAACTGGATTTAAATTCTGGACCTGATGCTTGCCAGGTAGGTGACCTTGACCAATTTCCTCATCTGTAAAATGAGGATAATGACAGTGCCTTTTTCACAGCACAGGTCAGAAGGCAAGCCAAGACATACGAGGCATTTAGCCTGCTGCTCATCACTGTCCTAGTCATTGTTTACTATTAGTATTAATGGTAACATAATTTACATTATCATTAAAAAAGTAGATCCATAATTTACATACACATAATACATTTTTAATTGTACTACAGGTTCCAATTTTATTCACAAAGTTATTTAATAGATGGTTTAGTGCCTTCTTTAAATTCAAATATATTACTGTAAGCAACATATTCTATACATACACACCCAGGAACATACAGATGCGTGTATGAATTTTTCCTACTGAACCCCTATATCTACTGTTTTAACAACTTTGTTTTGAATTCTATAATTAGAAAGTCAAACTAAGGGCACCTGGGTGGCACAGGGTCCTGGGATGGAGCCTGGCAGGGAGTCTGCTTCTCCCTCTTTCTCTGTCCCTCCCCCCAGATCATGTCTCTCTCTCAAATAAATAAATAAATAAATGTCAAACTAAATAAGCTTCATATTTCTAAAGCTTACTGTCTTCTAATGTGTCTTGTTTCAGATAATACAAAACCCAAAGGTAAAAGGAATTTGTTCTGCCAAATAACCAAAGTATTTTTATATCTTTCTTATGGGATTTTCATGTTGAGTAAGGGACAAGCTAGGTAGGGAGAGACAGGTAGGAGACTAGGGTCACTCAGGGGGCGATGTAACCAGGCTCACAGAAACCCCAGCTGTGGAGAAACAGACATGATATTTACAAGAACACCTTGTTTGCACTCATGATATTTACAAGAACACCTTGTTTGTTCTCATGATAGTTACAAGTCCAACGTGTTCATTCTAAATACAGACATGATATTCACAAATCCACCATGATAATGACATGAAACTTACCAAGTTCCCTCCTCAGTTTCCTATAAAAGACGGAACATGAAAGCCCTCAGTGGTAATCCACTTAGAACCCCTCTCACTTTAGAGAGCTCTTTTTCTTTCCTTTCTATTGTCACCTTCACTTAAACTTTCACTTCACCTTTTTGTGTCCCCAAAATTCTTCTGGTCCGTAAAACAAGAACCCGTCAACAATGTCTACCCATACCTCACTGGTGACAATGATTTCTCGTGATTAGCAATTTGTTTTACTGTGTTCGAAAATGATTGTGAGGATGCTGCTGGGGGTTCAGTATTGAGTTCACAAGAAATTAACACCTATGTTTATATGAAACTAATGTAAGTTTCCAAAACTGAGGTACATACCTGCATTCAAAAAAAGGAAGTTATCTTTTCCATTCACACTTTCTGGGGCTGTACATTCACATACCAGTGCACACTAGGGAAGAATAAAAAAAAGGAAAACACTTGTGAAAAAATAATTGATTTCATTTTGTTTGCAAAACAAGTGATGCACATGGTTTCAAAAAGTTTTGAACAAGACATTTTTGTAAAACTTTTCAGCTTTATCTTTTATGAAACTTGTTTACAACTTTTGATTATTTACATATATATGATTCTATTGCATAATTAAAAAGACTAAATCTTGGTTCTAGTTAAAAACTACTTAGGAAAAAAAGCAAGAAGTGGAAAAAAAAGTTGTCCCCAACATGCTAGAAACCTCCTAGTACAGCAAATCACACTGACAAGCAGGATGGTTTTGTATTTGTCACCTGAGATAGTTTGGGATCAATAAAAAGCAAATTACTTTCTAGATTTTAAGTAAAATTTTAAATAAAGGCTAAAATATCTTGTACCATCAAATTACATAAGACAAAAGGTTTTTGTGGCAAAACAATGCAAACACTTGCTCATAAAGTACGAGGACACTTTATAAATAGATTTATAAATTATGGATTTGAATAAATTTGTGAAGCTGGTCCAGAGGTCATGAATCTATAATCTATGATTAAGTTCATGAGCTTTTACAGAACCAACACTAGCTACTCTGGACAGAGAGAAGAAACACAGAAGAGCACGTTGCCATGTTCCTAAGTGAGTGAAACAGGAATAGGCAACAATATCCCAGACCATGTAGCAGTTAGTGATGGACTCTTCTTAACTTCCTTTGAAACTATACTTAATAGAGGAAGCAGCTTTTCTGGCCCCAGAAAGCTGAGATCTATTTTCACACAGACACCAACATGACTGGCATTTGTTTTTTCAAATGTTTCCTTCTATTGCTAGCCACAAAAAAAAGGGTGGGTGTGGTAGTTTGAGGAAAGAGGAGAGTGAATTTTTAGAGCAAATATATCAGACATAAATAAATGCAAATAAAAACCGAACAAAGGAAAACCCAGAAAATCCTTTGGTGAGGAGTTCTGAGGGAAGCAGCCAATTTTCTGTAGCATGCATGGCTTTACTCAAGAGACTCCAAGGGCTCAGGTCACCCTCCCCAGGAGAGTGTATCAAGATTGCTTGGGCTATTTCCAAACTGTTTCCTTCTACTCTTCCTCCTCCAGGCACTGGCCCCCTTGGAGAATTATGGCCACTGAGGTCACTGTTGATGAGACATATGTCAAGTATTTTGAGAAGGAAGAGAATTTAAAACATTGATTTAAATGTTACTTCCGTATTTGTATAGTCCACTACTTATTCCCCCATCATAAACATTCATCACATTACTCAGGAAATTTCTTCATAGGGAAAAATGTGCTCTCATATAACTTCTTTAGTGTTTTTATTGAGGTTCTACTTTACTGAAACAATGAATAACTGTAAACAGCTCTTATAATCTGATGTTCTCTAAATCATTTTCCTGACCAAATCAGAACTCAAAGGTGATCCTTTCTTTTACTCCACAGCTATTTGGAAAATGGACTTCCCAAATCACTAGAGCAAGGTGCAGTGATGCTTGGACATAAAATTCTTTCTCTTATTCCCAATATTTCCTCTATACTTTTTAGTTCATGTATAGCTGTTAAAATAATCTTTCATAAACTTAATATCATCTTACCAGTGCTCTGCTCTAAAATGTATAAAATTGGTTATTTGCTGTCCAATCAAATCCACTATTTTCAGACTGGTGTTCAAATCCTTTCATGATTTGTCCCTGATATCCTTCCACATAATAACATAATATGGTAGGTATATAGCTTTGAGCCATCCTCCTCTCCAAAACAGGATTATCACCTACAATATAATTTATAGAAATGGTTTAGATTAAACCCTTTTAGTAAGAAAGTCCATAATTCATACGGATCAGGTTATTTTGAGAAACTGCTTCTCTACATGGAGGGAGCCCTGCCTCTTCATAATCAAAGTCAACTTTCTGTTTCCTAATAGAAGGCCTGCATTATTTTACCAAATGGATCAGAAACAGAATTTTCATACATTTGTATCTCCATCTACACTGGAAGGTAGATATTTAGAATAATTTTAACCTAATAACATTCTTATTTTACAACTTTATTGTATTTTAAAGCTTTACTATTCACAATGCTGTCAAGATTTAAATCCACAGAACATAAACAGAAAATATCCAATAAATACTTACTAAATTAATAAATAATTTTATATTTGGACTCTTAATTATTTTCTTCAATTGTTTCCCAAGTGTACCGTCTGTGTCACTATTAAAATTGAGAGTTTTGAAGCCAAGAACCATAGTTCTTATTTCCTCAGCCTATTTTAATTTTTTTACAGTTGACCCTAGAACCATTTTCACACTGTGCTAGATGCTACATAGAATGCAAAGATTAAAATGATTTGGAATCATTAAGCACAGGCTTAAGGAGGCTCCAGCTATGTATACTGTTTATTGCTGTCATTATGATGGATATTTTCAGGGTTATGCACTTATACTGTGTGTGCTTTCAGTGTAACAACTTCATATTTGTGATTCTGAGCAGGAATAACAAACACCACATGCTTTTTGTTCCAATAGCACTGTAAGCCTATTGATTTTGATGAGTGCTTTAAAAAGTGTCATCTGACGGTAAGTGTGACCAAGAAGAAGAAACGCAAGATATATTATATAAATTTCTTGGAGCTTAATGATGTTGATATCAACTACCATACCAATTTGCCATGCATCGGGCTAGAAAATTAACTAAACTGTAAGGACAATGATCATAAAGGACAAAGACCAGTACTTCTTGGCTAAACACTTTTACATTTGTTAGTTTATTCCTTAGATCATGGTTGTTAAAGTTTGGTCTGGAATCTCCTGGGGTCCCTGATAAGTTTTGTGTTTGCACCCTCCACAACATCTGGCACAGGGTGAAGACAAAATCATTTCCATAATAATACTAAAACACTATTTGTCTGCTTCTCTCTTACAAGCATATAGTGGAATCTTGTAGAGGCCCTATTACATAATCATTTGACAGCTAATGGTATGCGTGCTTGTGTACTCTTCTGTTTTAAACATTTCTTGTTTGAAGTACTAACACGATAAATGGCCATAGATATAACCTAAGTAAGCAAAATCTGTAATATAGTAAATATCAGTAGATAAAATCCACATAAATACCAATTTTTAGAGTAAATTATGCAAATTGCTACACTTGGATGATCTCATTCAGTCTCATGGTTTAAATACCATCCAAATACCATCTGACTACTCACAAATATCTAATTCTAGCTTGGACAGCTCATGTGAACTCCACACTCAAACCTCCAACTGCCCAGATGTATGCATCCATTTCAAATTTCAAAGTTAACATCTCAAAATCTCTGGTTCTTCTGCACCTGCTCCTTTCAGTTTCTTCGTCACTATAGATGGTAAGTTTATTCTTTGGTTTTCCTTGGTACCTGGAGTCTGGCCACATTTCCCTTTCTCTGATTTAACTCATCTTCATCTCTGCCTTGAGTCTTTGCAATAAACAGGCTCCATTCTGTCCTTGCTTCTTTTCAGGCCATACTCAACATAACAGCCCAGAACGGTCCTCTTAAAACACGAATCACATCATTTTGCACCTACACTCAAAAATCCTCCACTGTCTTTCTATCTAGCTCAGAGTCTAATGACCTTTAAGAGGGAGTATACAATCTGTCTTCCCTGCCTGTGGACCTTATCCTCAACTCTTACCACTTTCCTCTCCAACCCCCAGGTCTAGTCATTACAGGCACCCTGCCACCTCAGGGCCTTTGCCCCTGCTGTTCACTCTACCTAGAATTCTTCTTCCTCTCATATACCCACATCTTGCTCCCCATTTTCCTGCATGTTTCAGCTCAGATAACTTATCACTAGTGAATCTATCCTTGATCACCCAGTATAAAAGGGCCACAGTCCACACTCCCTAGTAGTCCTTGTACCCTTATTTTTTTCGATAGTATATAGTACCATCTGATCAACAATATATTACTTGTTTATTTTATTGTTTACCTCCCTAGAAGGCAGTATCTGCGTCTATGTGGTTCATTGCTGAACACCCAGAACCTAGTAGAATGCCTAGAACATAGAAGGCAGTATTGTTTGACAAATGAGTGATGAATATTATATGCCTGCAAATATCTTAGAAGGTAAGTCAGTTATATAATTTTCAATTGTGTATTTGGGAAAAACAAAGGGACAAATAGTGTCTGCTTTAAGATGCTCCTTAGCTCCCCTAGGACTCTACCTTTTCCCTGACCATGGCCTAAGAATATCTGATTAAAACACCACTTCAAACTATGGGAGCAAAGTGACCTGAGAAGGGCAGCAAGGCATCAAATACTAGTTAGGTTAGGCTCGTAGTGAAGAGAAGATGTATTATTACTCCACTTATGCCATCTCTGTCACTGTCATAAATACATAAGGCTTTTTCCTTTTGTAGAAACCACCACTACTTTGATCATTAGTACTGTGCCATGTGCCACATTCAAATATAATACAGACATTAAACAAGAGGGGGAGACAAGGCAGGAGCTGAACTTGGCCCCCGCAGAGCCTCACTGAAGGATGCCTGTTAAAAATCTTCCTCCCCTGACAAGAAGCCAAGTGACCTTGGCGTCAGGGCAGAGGGGAGGGCTATCTCACTCGATCCTGTTGGCTGTTAATTATATTGGTTCTTCTATTACCGGATTTGATCATCTGGCTTCCTCATTCTCCTTTCCCTAGTAGCATATTTTTTTCTTGACTATTTAATTCAAAGTTGTTTTTCAAAAGTTTCTTCCTCTTTCCTTTATAATGCTGCACTCTTTACTGCATCCTCACTCTAGTCTTTACTTATGGCCAGTTTGTACACAGCCTTATATGCAGCCAAATATTATCCCTTCTAGGGAGAGAATTTTGGATTTTATTTCAAGATAAAATTGACTTCATTTACTCATTCACTCATTTTTCCTGTGCTAGGCTCTGTTCTAGGCACCGGGGGGAGGGGTAAAGGAGAGAATAAAATAGACAAATGACAAATGTCTAGTGAGGGAAATAGACAATAAATAAGATAAAATATATGTGATGTTGGACAGTGATAAGTACTAAGGACAAAAATAACGCAAAGAAAGGAGATAGAAAGTTTCTGGTAGGCATGACAATTTTGGATACAGGGCAGAGAAGGCAGAGTGAGAAGGTCACATTTTACAAAAAGACCAGAAGGAAGTGAGGGAATGAAGCATATAGTTACCTGGGGAAAATGCTACAAAGATAGATTGAAAAACAGAGTGAAGGACCTGAGTCAGAAATGTATCTGGAATGTTTAACAGCCAGCCAAGAAGCTAATGAGGCTAGGTGAAAGTGAGCAAAAGAAGAGTGGAGGATGAGGCGAAGAAAGTAATGGGGGGCCAACACCTGCAGGAGTTTAAGTGGGGTCACTGAAAGGATTTAGGTTTACACTTCCATGGAGTTGAGGAGCCATTGGAGAAATGAAATGTTCTGTGTTATGTCTTAATAAGTGCTCTGCTGAAAACAGACTATGATGATGGGGGTGTCGGGAAGGAGGAAGAAGGGACATTTAAGAGACTACCATGAACATGTACGTGACAGACAATGCTGTAAGAGGGAAAGGCTCCAAAGCCACTGGGTTCTGGATATATTTAAAAGTCAGAATCAGCAGGATTTGCTGACATACTCACTGTGCCTGAGAGGAAGAAAGGAGTCAAAGGTGACTCCAAAATGTAAAAAAATTTGGATACCTAATGCAACATTTCACCAACTATATGAGCTTTGTAAAATGTCCATGTTACTGTTTCTTTTGTGAATTTTTCTTTCTCTAGCTATGTGATTTTAACACTTTGTCTTCTTTCACTATGTATGTACGTATCAAATAAAAGTTTGAGCTGGGGGTGCCTGGGTGGCTCAGTCCCTTAAGCGTCCAACTCTTGGTTTCTCTTCAGGTCGTGATCTCAGGATCATGGGATCAAGCCCAACATCGGGCTCCGTGCTTAGCAGGGAGTCTGCTTGAGATTCTCTCTCTCCACCTCCCTCTACCTTCCCCACCCCACTTGCTTGCCTCTCTCCCTTTCTCTCTCCCTCTCTCTTAAACAAAAGTTTGAACCAGTGTGGTATGGTGAATGACCTTCTGAACCACTTTTGCTTGATGAGAACTGTATCATAACAATATAATTTGAGGAAACAAGTAAGTTAATGTAAGAGGACAGAGTTTGGATTTTCATTTATATTTTATTCCAGGCTCTGAAGGTTATATGAGATTAAAGATTCAAATGTAGTATTTTACATCAGGGATATAGTTATGAACTGCATTGTGTTCCTCAAAATTCATCATGTTGAAGCCCTGAGACCCAGTATGACTGGATTTGGAGACAACCTTTATGGAGGTAATGAAAGTTAAAGAAGATGATAAGGGTGGGGCTCTAATCCTATTGGGATGGTGTCCTTATAAGAAGAGGAAGAGACACAAGAGCTCATTTCGCTGTCTCTGTGCTAATGTGCCAAGGAAAGGCCATGTGAGGACACAGCTGGACGTTTGCACGCCAGGGAGTCCTCACCAGGAACGAAGTCATCTGGCACACCAACCTGGCACTTCCTGGCCTCCAGAACCATGGTAAAATCATTTTTTGTCATTTAAGCCATTCAGTCTGTGGTATTTTATTATTATGGAAGCCCAAGCTCATTAAAACAGGTATTATTATCTTCTATCTACTTCAGTATACACAAGCAATAACATGTGTCACTCACCCACATGACTGGTGCTAATAGTTTCATTTCTTTTTCCTCCATTCATACAAACTCGGGAGAGCAGTGTTGTTTTACAGATAACCCCGATTTCAGTTACTTTGTCTTGTCCTATGTTTCAGTCATTCACTAACTTCGGGACTTAAGTCCCCATTAGGAGATTGTGTTAATACACTTGATAGAGATGTTGATTTAGCAGATCTGCAAAGGAGTTTGCATATCTAACAAACACCCCAGAAAATTCTGCTAATGCTTTGTGAAACACTGAGATAAAGTTATTCCCACATAATTCTAAATATTGTGCATAGTGGACCTTACTACATGTTCTTCACGAATCATGATGCTTCTGAAGGATTGCCAACAGTTTATAATAACTTTATAAAAAATTTGCAAAAGGTCAATGCTTACTAAGAACCCAGACAGGACAGAACTAATGCCAACAATGATTGGTACATTTATCGTTTTAGTCAACTTACGATTTGTACATGGTACATGCTGACGCTGCCACCTCCTAATTCTAGAATAGTTCAGTGAAGACTTTTTAAGTTCACATTACTAAGTCAGAAACATTATGTGGGGCTTTGGTGGGGTATATTCCTGGGTATCAAGTTCTCTGCTTACTAAGAGTATGATTCAATTTGCACTATATAATAGCAACAGAGCGAAGGAGTCAGGCGGTGGGCAAGCTTTGGGGGGAAGTAGAGAGGGGGCTAGTAATAGATTGGGAGCAGTCAAAATAGGCCTCCGTTGAAAAGGGAAGTGTTTCCGCTACTCGTCTCCTGGCATACTGCCACAGGTCTAGGCACAGTTGTCTATTTCTGTTCTCAGTTCCCCACCTGGCCTCCAAATCTTTCCTCCTTAATCTTGAGGCAAGCATTCATGTGGTGGTGACTAATACGCACCTTATATAGAATTCCAAAGGAAAGGGGGATTGAATGAAGGAGCCCCATAATTGGAGGTCTCGGATGCACACATCCTAAAAGCCACACTGGTGTTTTGAATACACAAATCTTGAGAGGATCTGCTGCAAACTGACAGCCCTTACATTATCAGGCAACCTGATTCAAACTTTGAGCCTCCCTGGAATATTTTCATGATCCTCACTGTGTTCTGGGGGAGAGTAGAGGAACAGAGAAGAACAAGGCTTGGCCCAGCAGATAAGAGCCTAGCTTATTCTGGGGGCAAGAACAATATTCTTTTGAAAGACAGTCTTAGATTTCTTTTGTAAAGTTAATTGTTTTTTTCTTTTTTTTAGACAAAAAAATTAATTTGTTGTGCTAGATAAACATTTCTCATGTAGATGTTTTCTCAGCACCCCAAATTCAGTATGCTTCTAGATAAGGGCCACTAAGTCAGAAACTGAATCCCTAAAGGCCTTATCATTAGAAAATGCTCATTTATGAAAAGGTAGGAATTACAGTGTATACACAAAATCTTTCCTGAAAAGATGCAGTTTTTAAGTCCATCCCCTGTGCCTCAATAAAGTAGGCGACTACATTCCTAGGACAGGAATTTAGGTTAATACTTATGTCAAGTTTCTCTTTCTTAGAGAAAAGAAAGTAAAAAATCCGGGACACGTATTGATACGCACTGGGACCTTTATGCTCAGCTTCAAGGAAGCTGCTTCCCCTCCAGCTGGTGATGCCCCTCCTCCAAAGCTGTCCCTCCACTTTGCGCTATTTCCTACTTCTCTCTGCAATTTTATAAGGCCCAGCATTATTAAATCTGTGCTCCTTCACATACAAATGAAATCTAAACTCAAATTGCATTTCTTTCCAAAGAGGGTTTTGAGAGTAGAGAAGTGGTTACTTTGGGCAGTAGTCCTCCTGGAATCTTCTATGCGTCTCAAGTAGGGTTAATTAGGGCAGAATGCAGCAGTGATCCGTGCTTTTGTTCCAGCTGAGAGGAGGCAGGGTCAACACGGGGAGCCCCGGGGCAAAGAAGAAGGTGTTGCTGAATGGCGCATGGCTTTGCAGAGTTCCGTGCAAATAGACCCTCTGGTTCAGCGGACCAAACATGCTTATGGCACTTCAATTCCAGAGCTGATTTCTCATTTGGCTTTTGAATAAGATTTCATAGTGCACAGAGGTGCTGATGATTCAGGCATCTGGCAAAACTGATCGTTTCTAATTTAATTTGTGCATTGAGCTGACTGAGACCCTACCTTTTGTCCCTGCACATCTGTGGTGATGTGGTCGGCTTCCCCATCCTCAATCTCCCCCATCTTCACGACACTGACTTCTATGGTGCCAACAACTTTGCCACCATCTGAAGTTCTGCAACCAAAAATAAATGAAATGGAAAGGTAAGAATCTTCTCTCTCCTTAAAGTATGTTCAAACATGTTTGTTTCTGAAAACCACAAATATTACTCTTTGCCTTCATTAGTTTTAATTAAATCTATTTTAAAAACAAAACATGTCAATAGTGTTAATTAAAAAAAAAATGGTTAACCACCAATTTATGAGGTAAGTGCACGGACTGTCAAAAGCTACCTCATGATGGTGAAACCTCTTCCAGACACTCAGGAGTGGACACAAATAGCATGCCTCAGTGTCCTGTTTGGCAACACCACATCCCCACGACAACATAAACCGTGGCTTCTCTCTGCCAGCTGCATGCATGTTGTGCACATCTGTCACGGAAACCACAGCTGGGGGCACCTGGATGGCTCAGTCGGTTAAGCGACTGCCTTCGGCTCAGGTCATGATCCCAGGGTCCTGGGATGGAGCCCTGCATCAGGCTCCCTGCTCACTGAGGAGCCTGCTTCTCCCTCTCCCGCTGCCTTTGTTTATCCTCTCTCTCTCTCTCTCTGTCAAAATCTTAAAAAAAAAAGAAACTACAGCTGAATAAAATAGAAAAGAACATAAACATCCCTATATTCTTCTCTGGGCCACTGGCCACAAAATCTGATTCTGTGCCTTTTTCCTAACACTATTTTTCTAAGAGACTAGGTAAAGGAAGTTCTCTCCCAGCAAACGTAAAAAAGTTAAGGTACATGCAGAGCAGAAATTAACCACAGAGATAATTTAGTAAACACTTTACTTCATCAGATAAAGAATCAGAGACTCAAAAAGATGGAAAGACTCATCTAAGGTAACCAAATGGCAAAACCAGAAATCCAGGTTTCTATCTTCTTCACGTCTGTTGGTCACTGAAAAGCTCCATTTAATGATGATTAAGATTTCCATCATTATCATTTTCAACATATGAATTTTCCGGTGAACAATAATGAAAGATAAAAATAAAATGAATAACCACCCTCCTTTAAGATTCTCTAATTTCTTTTCCTGGGCAAGAAAATATACAGAATAAATGGTGCCATCATAACATGGGAACAGTGTGACATATATTTTCCCCTCGAATCTCATTTTGAAGATAGGCAGCAAGCCACTGCATAGGCATGACATTTTGCCATAACTTCTTTCTTAACCTAATTGACTAATATTAGAAACGCAATGTTTCATTTTCTTCTGTCATGTTTTTTCCAAAATTTGTTTTTAATTTTAATTGGGATACAAATGGTGTCTTTCTTTCAACCAATTCCTTCTAAATGCCACTATTTTATCATTAAAGATGTCAGAAAAGAGAATTAGGAAAATTTGTATAGTTTACCAAAATACTAATTCAAATAATGAATACGTTAGGTGAAAAGGAAACCAAAATATGTTACTAGATCATGGCAGGTTTTTCTCAAAATATAAAAAGTATAAATTAAAACACTCCTTTTTTATTATGTTTTTTTTTTTAAAGATTTTATTCATTTGAGAGAGAATTAGAGAACACATGAGAGGGAGGAGGGTCAGAGGGAGAAGCAGACTCCCTGCCAAGCAGGGAGCCTGATGCGGGACTCGATCCTGGGACTCCAGGATCATGACCTGAGCCAAAGGCAGTTGCTTAACCAACTGAGCCAACCCAGGCACCCTTGAATTATGCTTTTAAGGAAATTGAAATAGGAAAATTCTGGTGACATATGCATACCTAATGTCATAATGTAATAAAATAAAAATTGTGTACATAGAAAAAAGTGATTTCTTATTAAAATGATTTCTTATTAAAATATGAAATAAAATGCTTTTTGGTGACTTTCAAAACAGTGGAAATCATCATATTGACTTAATTATTTGCAATTAATATAGAAACTTTAAATACTCATTACAAAGAAGATGTGTATATAGAGGACACTGTATGATTTTGTGAAAAACTGCATTAGCTCCAGTTCTGGGGTAGTTTATTCATTATATCATTTTCCCACTGGAAAATGACATAATAACTTGTCATAAATCATGGTGTGACTTAACTCTGTACAATTATTCAGTACCTAATAAAGGCTTTAATAAGAGCTCTCATTGGCACTACTCATAGCTTTTTCTAGAGGTTTGCAGGTTCTTTTTCCCCCAAGCTGAGAGCATCAGTAACAATTACAGGTATCTTTTCCTTTTCGTAGGAGTTGCTTAAAATGCTTTGCTTGAACAAACTGAGCTAGATTCATTTCTAGGAATGTAAACCCATGTACAACTTTCTAAATGTTTTCACCAAACTAAACCAAACAGTGCCATAATGATTTGAAACAGAAGGTAGGCTTTTCACAGTCTCTCCTGGGCCTGGGTTATAAACCAGTATGTGCCATAGTGGTCAAAAGTGTGCACTCATGAATTTGGGCTACCTGCTAGCTGCATGACCCTGGGCAAAGAATTTAACCCACGTGAAACTTCGTTTGCAAAATGGAGATGATCATTTTATTGTAAGGATTAAATTGTGGTATGATTGCTGTAAGGTGCTCAGCACAATGCCTTAAACAAGATGAGTGCGTCTTCCTTCCACCCTTCCTCTTTGTCCTAGTAGTAGGGCAGTGGGACCAGTAGCAGCAACAATAGAATCGCTATGTCATTAATGGTATTTGTATATGTTTAATTTTATAGTGCATTATATTTATATATGCTGTTTAATTTTATAATGTATTATATATTTATATATGATTGATTTTATAATGTATTACATAATTATATGTTTAATTTTATAATGTATTATATATTTATGTATGATGTTTAATTTTATAATATATATATGTTTAATTTTGTAATTATATATTTATACGTTTAATTTTATAATGTATTATGATATTTATATATGATGTTTAATTTTATAATGTATTATATATTTATATATGTTTTATAATGTATTATATATTTATATATGATGTTTAATTTTATAATGTATTATATTTTTTGATGTTTAATTTTATAATGTATTATGTATTTATATATGATGTTTAATTTTATTCTCTCCAGAACTTTTACTAGCATAGGCATCTAAGACGATAGTAAAACATTATAGGATCTCAAGCTTCATTGCAACAATGACTGAGTACTCATTAAAGATACAGAGACTTAGTAATAACAGATATTATGAAGCTTACATCCCTAGTAGTGCAAACAACACAGGTTTGTAACTAATTACAATGCAGCTGAATTTTTCAAAGTGTGAAAGTGACTGAATAAGTAATGTACTATGGGACTGAGCTGAACTATAGCTCTATCTATTTCTGTTAAAACAATTAGCTGGGGCGCCCGGGTGGCTCAGTCCATTAAGCGTCTCTGCCTTCAGCTCAGGTCACGATCCTGGAGTCCTGGGATCCAGTCCTACATTGGGCTCCCTGCTCAGCCGGGAGTCTGCTTCTCCCACTGCCCTTCACCCTGCTTGTGCTCTCTCTCACTCTCTCAAATAAGTAAATAAAATCTTTAAAAAAAAATCCACAATTATCTGGCTACTTTTTAAATAATTTTAAATTATATCTAATTTTAAATAATATCTTCTATAGGCTTCCACTCAGTCCCAGAGTGGAATCAAGGCAAGGAGCTTGCTTAATCTAGTGATGCTAGAATGATCTAAAATCTTTTTTTTTCCCAAAACCATTTTGGAAAGGGAGTTCTGACTACTCTAAAGCATGTCTCTTCATCTGAGATTTGTGGGAGACAGAATGGGAATCCAAGTTATAAACTAAAGAGCTGAATTCAAGACACCCAGAAGCATGGTTCATCCTGTCAATGAACTAGAATATAAGATGTGGAAGCTGTTTTCTATTTATCCTGCAACAACTTAACACACACCAAGTATGGATATTCAACACTTCTGTTCAATCAGGGGAACCATGATTGAAGTATCTATTTCATGTTTTCAAAGGTGATTTCCCACAAATTTAGAAGAAAATTCATTCTTAAATGCTTAATTATGCTTTCAGTTTATCACCCATCAGGTTTGTGGGAGGGGCTAGTAATAATAACTTAACCATTATTCATCACCAAAATTCTCCTGAATTTTATCTAGTGGAAATCATATCTTCATGGAAGATATATAGAAGAGACGTCTGGGTTAGGAATCAAGAAATCCAAGCACTACTTCCAGTTCAGCCACTAACTAGCTATGTGACCAACAATATATCACTTTAGATATCTGGGTTTCAGTTTCCTCTGCTAGACATCGAAGAATTGGTCTCTTAACAGCTCTTCTATAATATTAGCACTCAAGCGCAGTGCTCTAGTCACTCCTGTGATTCCATCATATGATTCTATCACAGACACCACAAGCCATCACGGACCGATACAACTTCAGGAAAGACCTCAGGTACATTCTAGCCTCTCCTCATTCCTCATCTTCTCATCCTACCTTTCATGCAAACAAACCAAACAAGCCAAATGCATGCCAAACCGGGGAAGTAACTGAGAACTTAGGGTCAAATCAAAGAGCTGGTTTTTCTTATAACAGCCAATGCATATAAATAGATTTGACTGCCATTATGGCACAGCATTTTGGCGTTTTTACAAAGATACAAATTTGACTGAACGCAAACAAAAAAGTGATTTTACACACTTTCCTAGCAATTTACATGGCAACAAGAACAGGCTGCAGTAATAAATAATGATCTCAATCTATATGAACAAGAACAGCAAAAAACTGTGCCATTTCAGCCACTTGACAGGTCATTAGCTCTGTTTAATGCAGAAAGCTGTATGAGAAGTAAAAGATGAATAGTTCATGGCCGATATAGTATTTCGATCCAACATCAAAGTTCCTGGTTAAACTTGGCAAATAAGTAGTTCCCCTTATCCATGGTTTCACTTTCTGAGGTCTCAGTTACCTGTGGTCAACAGATGATTCTCCTTCTGACATATCACTGGGAAATCAACAGTAGCCTAATGCTAGATCACAACACCTCTGTCATTCACCTCACTTCATCTCATCACACAGGCATTTATCATTTCACATCATCTCAAGAA